AACCCACCTCCTTCTCTTCGCTGGAAAAGTTTCGCGGCTGTAACAAGTTGTTGGGAATTAGTTTTGAAGTGCGCGAAATATGCGCAAATGGCACGCAAGGGGCAGGAGGGGAAATGGTGAAGGGGTGGAGGAGCAGTGGTGGGTGGTGGGTCAGAGCTATGTGGGGCAACAGCTGATGCTGCCACAAACACTTTTTCGACTGATGGTGCAACACCACCCAATTCCACGCCCGAACAATGAATAGGAAATTAATGTAGGTCGAAGTGGCAGGGAATGTTCTTGAAATAGATTAATTAGATAATTGGGTTGGAAAAACTCAAAGCAAAGACTGGCTGGCAAGAGTAGCAGAAAGAGTCCTTCAAGGATTTTTCAAAAATATTACGCTGCCATAGACATGATGAATGGATAACCCACTATAAAACTAAATGCCAAGTTTATTTTCATTTTGGAGATCAGGCAGTTTGTGTTTTTCTTGATATTTAATTTAATTTACAATTTCTATGCAAATATTAATTTTTTCCTGTTATTTTAGACACTTTAAAAGGTTTTTCTTATTCATAACCATAGATCAACACCTCTGTTGACTAATCGTAAAGCACATTCTGGCACATCCTTGAAGATGCATGGTTTCCAGTTGAATTCCTCTATCCTTTGCTTAGACACTTTGGCCATAATCCTTTGCCAAAAAAAAAGAAGAATCACCAGAGTTCATTTATGTGGCGTCTTCTCTGTAGTTTGCATAAACTACAGCAGCAATGCCCCCCGAGCATATTTCAACTGCAAATCCTTTTAAAACTGCTCCGTGATACAGGACCCTTTGTTTGGTTGCAGGATGCAGGAGTTGCAGCAGGACAACAAGGGGGAATGTGGGTTGCATGGAGAAAAGGCCTCTATATTTGTTTTCTTTCCTGTTATTGTTGTTGTTGAGCAGAAAACGAAAATATGCAGCTCGGCACAAAAATGTGCACTTGTTTGTTTTGTTTGTCAACAGAATCCTGTTGGCAGTCCTTTTTGTGGTCCTGTGGCCTGATGTCTGCAATGCCTGCATATGTTGTCAGCGCTAATCAAGCGCACATATGATAAACTGACTCACACACAGGCAAACGCAGACCAAATCTCAGAAATGCAGTGAAAGAAATAATCATTAATTTATGGATGTTTAAGATGTGTTAAGAGATTGAGAGGAATGAGCCAAGGTCCAGCCTAAAATCATTGAATAATACATAATTTTGGATGACTTCTGGTTTAACTTTTCATATAATTCCCATCTAATTATTGACTAACATCGAAATCATAATTTCTTTAAGTGCACACACCAGATAGCAGGACATGCAACACTACAAAAATACGACCAAGAAGAACAACAACTGCAGCAGGACTTATGCAATTGTATTTGTTTACCCGGACGGCTTAGCAGTGAGTTTTACTCCTGCTCCTTCTTTCCTTTTGCATTGTTTGCATTTCTTTCACTTCTTTCCTTGCCCTTCCACGGTCCTTTTACATATATCCTTTGTGACGAGTCCTTTGGCAACGCGCAAAAGTTTCTGCGCAATTTCACAGGCATTTACCATACATGCAGCCACGGCCCAAAGGTACAAAGATGCTTTATGCCTTTTGATTGATTTATGTTAATCTTGGGCAATTATGCCGGACACGCAGCAGATTGCTATGTATGCGCTATGTGGTAGAGGGGTAAGGGGATCGTAAAGGACCTTTCTCTCTCCTTCCTAAAGGAGATGCTAATTGCATCTGGCCATTAAATGCATAATTTGCCATTGATGGCATGCGGACACGGCGAATGGAAAATCACTTTTGCATGTGGCCTGCTTTGGGATATGAATCGATTTGAATAATGAAAGGGAACCGAGATCTCGTTGTTTATTCACCGGCTGTTGCATAATCAGCATCTGAATGAATAAACTAAGTTACAAAATCATTGACAGTCGAATGGGATTGTTTGCTGGAGGAACATAAAGCCAAGGCTGATAGGGTGTCATCTTAATTAAGTATTTGTAAAAGAAATTAATAAAGAGTTTAGTCCAGTTAACTTCTATTTAGATATTACAAATATTTATCATAAATATATCTAGTTAAGTATTTACCACAAAACCACCCAGCTCTTAGAAAAACTGCATTAAAATCTGCAAACTTTTCCGACTCATAGAAAAATACCCAAGAAGAAAAGTTGCTTAGTGCCGCAGTTAGTACTGTGGAAAAGGGATTTTTTTGCGGAGTTTTTCGACGTCTAAACTACTGACTAAAGTAACATTTTATTATGTCACTATGTCACACACACCCATACAGCCACACGGGTATACCAACACCATTGCAGAGACACAAATACACGTACACAGAGCTGACATGTTGACATGTTAAAGAGCATGTAAGTGAAGTGTGATGGAAGCTGCAAGATAAGATGCAAGCAGAGCGAGTCATGCACAAAGCATAGAACTCTAACCAGAGAACCCAGAACCTAGAACCCAGAGATATAGTCCACATCCTTCCTTCCTTTCTCTCATCTTATAGCCACGCCCCTGGCGTCTTGTCTGTTTTATGGTTTACTTTTAGTTAGTTAGTAAAAAAGAATACAAGTTTTTCGCTCACGTCAGTCGAGGTATTTTTATGATGGAATTTTTAATGAATTTACTTTTAGTTGGGTGTCACGAAGCATCTGCATGTGAGCCTGCATGTGTGTCCTTCTTTCTCCTTTATGAAGGAAGAAAATATATATAGAAGAATTTTCTAAGGATTCATATTAAAATCTCGCCTGTCTGTGAGGTTTTCATCCTTCGCTGCACACAAACGAAAGAGGTGTAAACTTGTTTATCAAACTCAAGTTTTTGTTAAGGAAAATCGTTTGGTTGGGTGGTGGGTTTTGCGGGTGCGTTTTCCATCTGAGCAGATTGAATGCGACAAGTCAAGTGATGTGAATTTAATTTGCATTGCCATCAAAATTGGATTACAAAACGAAGAAATGCGAACAAATGTTATTGAAAGCTCAAAACCGGAATTCCTCAACAAATCAAATTGATGTGATGACATTTTTTTTTTTTTTTTTTGTTGTGGTATTTACAAAGGAATACAATTGAATTATTTCGAACGGTTTTAGTTTATTCATGGCCTAAATGTTTGCTATTGTTAGGTGAATAAATAAAGGCAAATGTTTTGTGATGTCAAAAACTTAGATTCTTTTATTTTTCTGACAAAATATTTGAGGAATTTCATATTTTTATATGGGAATATTTTGTATTTTTTATATTTAAAGTTTGAATTCCTATTTTTCCTTATAAATATATTCTTAGTGTCTATTTTTTTATATTTTTCTCAAATAAAATCAAATATAATGAAAGTTTATAATCCTCTGCTTAGCCTGCTCTCATCTTCTTCCTACCCAAAGTACTAATCACTACTAGGAAGATGATTATTTTGTGGAAATTTCCTGCCATTCCCCTACTGCACTTAAGGCTAGCAAAGTTTCTCTTCAGTTTTGAGCCACCTTAACTATAACCCACAAACACGCATTGATTAAAATCGCTGCAGTTAAAACTTATGCTCAAGTTCAAAATTAGTCGAAAGCTAATTAACGATAAGCTCGGCTTGCCAAAGTGCAGGGCAGAAGTTTTCGGCGGCTCGGAAAAGTTTTTAATGCATTTATCGAGTGACTTTGGTCTCGAGCTAAGTGCTTATTATCGGGCATCTATTTCAATTTCCCCCGGCAATTACAAGGCAGTCGAAACTACTACGTTTAGTAGTTGTCTGGGAATTACGTATTTTTCCAGCCTGGCATTTTACAGTTGTGGCACATAAAAACACCCACACAACGTCTGACCTTTCACCCAGGGCAGTTCAAAGGCAACTGCCAACGATTGCTCATTTTCATTTCGGTTCTGTTCTCTCGTCTCAGCGAGAGAGAGAGAGAGAGTGAGCTATTGAGAGGAAGTAAAACAAAGCGAGAGATCGGGCGAGAGAGTGCGCACAAGCCGAGAAGAAAAACGAGTGAGAGAAAATTTCCCTTTTTGAGTTGGACTCTCGGTGAGTAAAACCGGTTTTTGAGTGCCTTTTGGGAAGTAGTTTTGGAGTGAGTTTGGGTGCAGTGCATTTGTTCCACTTTCTGAGCAGGATATTTTTGGCACGTTTTTGTGTCGTCGGAGCCTTTTGTGCATTGAGTTTTTGCCTCGGCCGGCTTATGGTCAACATGAGCAGAAATGAAGCGTGCTGTGGGTCGAATCCCCCCCTTTCCTTTTATTTAATTTTTCCTCTCTTCTTATTTTTTTTTTTTTTTTTTTCTGATAGCAACAGAAACTGGCAGCAGGAAGCATTGCGGTATCCTGACGCTCAAGGGACTCATAATGGTCGAGATTTTGAGTTCTAGTTTAAGCTTTGGGTCATTTAAAGCGGCAAACTAGGCTAGTTTAAAATGGCTAAAAGTAAAGAGAAAACTCTCATAACTTCTATAAATTCTTCATGCTGTAAGCAAACTTCCATAATTCTTCGTTTGATTTGGCATAAACTTCCAAACTCAAGCTTATCAAATGCCATATAACCTAACCCCTGTTCGCCTTTCATTAAAATCAGCAGAGACTCGAAACTTTCTCACAAAGCAATTTGCTGGAAAAACACAAGACCGAAAAGCGTTGGAAAAACTTTAAACAACGAACGTGACCGAGGTGAAGTTTTCCCTTCTTAGCAGCGGTTCATATTTTTTTTGTTCCTTCCTTCCCTAACCAAGGAATATACATATAGTTTTTTGGTCAAACTGGGTCAGAGCTAGACAGAGGAAAAAAAAAGGGAAAAGGACGTCCAAAACATTTAAAAACATAAAAGACATGCCAGAAATTGCATGCTTCTTTAGCCAAGGACTTGACTTGATTTCTTGAGTGCCTCGCCCACGACTCCACTCAAGAGTCCAGTGGACTCGAGTTGGGATTTCGAGTGAAATGAAATTTCCCTCCTATGGCTGGGCCATTCTCAGCGACCCAATGTAGGCAATATACTCTGCCAGTGAGCAGTCAGTCAACTTATAGCCGCTCCAGCGAACGGACGCACCGAAAATCGAGCTATAGAAACTTTACTTTAGAACAGATAAAAACCCGAAATCGAATCCATGTCTTATATATAGAGCCAAACGATTTGTTTACGTGTCGTGACGCGAGTGCCAGCCATTCTGTGTGCGTGTGCCAGACCCAAACAAAACGAAATCAAACAAAAAAAGATAAAAAGTTCAATAAAATAATCAAAGAAATATCAAAGAAATCACCATGATTAGCACTACGGATTATCCATCAGTGTCGGTGGAGACCACAACAGCTGCCAGCGAGGAGCTATATGCGGAATATATAGCCGCACCGGCCAGCAGCATGAGTCCCGCTGCCATAGCCGAGCACCTGCAGCATAATCAGATCACCTTCGAGATACCCAGTGCCCATGATCTGCAACATATCGATGCCCTCAACTCCTTCAATGCCTTGCTCCAGAGGATTGGCAATGCCGCCGTGTCCTATGATCCAGCTCCACCTAGCGGTTGGTCACCAGATGGCAGTATCAGCACCGAACAGCTATCCAAGTCTGTGGTTCTCGATTTGGCTGACTTGAGGGATAGATCTCAGGATGCCGGAGAATCTAGTTGGTGGAATCAGATCTTTGGTGATGCTGATATGCATGTGATTATCAACTATCTATGGATTGGAGTGGTCAGTTCATTGGTCGTCCTGTCGCTAGTCTTCATCCTGTTCAGCTGCTATTTCTACAGGAAGTTCCGTACTTGGAAAAAATGCAGTAAGTTTCAGCCGTAAAATCCGCCTCCCACACCTAAATGCCATATATCTGGCTTTTATGTCCCGACTTTAATCAAAATGTTTCGCAAAAGGGGCCTTATCTTTGGCCATTTATTCAGCTGGCTAAACAATATAAAATGCAGAAACAGAAGCCGAGAGACAGGTTCCAACCATCGAAAAACCCATCGGTTTCATACTCTCTATAGAGAGAGCTCTATGGCCGCAAAGCCTCATAAATTTTTTGTGTTTTTTTTTTTTTTGGCGCGCTTGGAAATTGTCAGCCAGCCGTTTGCCGTTTGCATCGTTCTGTTGTAATTTTAGATACACAAGTTTATTATGCCACAAAATATATGTGCCGCATATTTATAATATTAAATTGACTCGCCTTCTCCGCCCTAGGCATTGTGCCCCTTTTATGATAGCGATAATGTACGAGCTGGAGAATATGGCCGACCTCGTCGACCCTTCCAAAAGCAAAATTGTTGCCCCAAAAAATTTGTTGCCCAGCAGCAGACCAAAGGCGTGAAATTATGCGTTGATATTTATAAATTTTCTAGGGGGCTGTCGTGGCGATAAAGTTTAATATAATAAAATAATATGATGGATCATAACACTCAGTTGGTTAGCTAAAGTCAAGGCAAATCTGTGAGATTGTAAAATATTTGTTTAGTTAAATCAATTTGATGCTGGCATAGGGTGGAAAAGAGATAAAAGGGTTTCATTTTTTTCTAATATTTCTTCCACATTTTTAGTACAGCTGAAACAGTGCCATAGTAAATCCAAAAATCAATCAAGTTTGACAACGAACGTTATCAAGAATCCCTAACTAAACCCACAGATTACCGCCACTCAACCCAATTCGGTGCAAATAGAGCCCCATGTAAATACATATCTTATCTCCTGAAGAACCTGTTGCACCTCTCAGCAAAGCAAAAACTGTTCGAAATCCCAAAAATAAATCATATGTTTAGGCACTTTACACATAATTACGGAAAACCACAACAACAAAGAACCCAACTCATACGAACCGAAAACTGAATTGGCATCGAAAGGTGGAGGGGGGTAGGTGGTGGGCAGGCTAAACAACCTACACACAACTAACAAGTCTCCGGCTCAAGTGTCAAACTTTTTGCAGACCAATTTAGCCAAATGATTTATTTAGGCCAGGCCAAGCCAGGCCAGGCAGCAAGTGAAGGACTGGGTTCTACTGCAGGAAACTTTACTTATATTCCTGTTCTGTAGCTTCTTTTTCTTTTACGGGGGCCAAAAGGGCCGTGGCCTTAAAGCCTGGCCAACTCAACTGTCAAACTGTCAATTTTGTGCTAACGAGCCTTAAAAACTTTGCCCTGCGATTACGACACGCGACCAAGAAGGGTGGATCCCTTACTATGCCATGCCACTACTACTATATACGTGAAATATCAATTTGAGCGATATGTGTTGCCTGCTTTCGGGCGTCCAATGCGTCTAATTAGTTTCGTTAGTGTCGTGTTCTCTGTATATGTTTTTTTCTTTTTTCTGTGGGTCTCCTCTGCGAATCTGGCCTAGATAGATACCAAGTGGTCGGTTGGTTGGTGGGATAGGTTGCCCGGGATACTCAGGATACAGGGATACTTGGCTATCCGTAGTACGTGTGTCATTTATAATTAAGCAACTAGGCCCGAGTTGACTTCGGCTTTTGTGGCATTTAATGCCAGCTACGTGGCGTCTCGCAGTGTTTACCTTATAAATAGTTAACGAGGCCCAAACACAAGAGTGTCTGGCCCAGTTCCCAGCCAGGCTTACACCTTATTTATTAAACTGTCACACACACACACACAGGCAAACTTTTGGTCCTTTTTTGGCTTTGGCTTGTTATCAATTAGTGCAGTGTACGAGTGAATTTATTAACAGACCGAACGGAGTTCCTAAATTAAAGCCAAAGCAGCAGCCACTGTTTATCATGTTGTATAGGTCCTGCATAATTCAGTTGCGTAAAAATGTAATTAAGCGTAGCATATTTGGCCAAGACCAGAAAAAAAAAGTTACTCTTAGCTCGGGCTGGCCCTTTTAAATTTTTAATGGTTTTTCCACAGCGACTGGTGCTGAAAAACTAGAAGCTGCTCTCTTTTTTTTGTTTTGGCTATGGAAAATATTTTAGTTTCCTTTTTCGCTTCGTTTTGGCAAACTCAAATTGAGTGTTGTAATTAACCAAATTGTTTTGTAGCCAGCCAGCGTTTAGTGGGTTGGGTAAGGCATACATAATAGAGTTGGTTTAATGCAAAAGTTTTTAATGGCTGAGAGTGCATCTTTTATGGGCAAAAATCGAATGGCTTAAATAACACTTGAAAGCAGCTTAAATCCAATGATAATAATTTTTAAATAAAAAACTCAACCCAAAGCCAGCCAGAGTTCGAGCGTTTAAAAAATTAACAGACATTTATGGCAACACAAAAATAAAGCAGCTCAAAGTGTGTTTTCCATTTGCCAGTTTTCATTCGACGAGAAAGAGAGAGAGTTCCAGCTTATTGCGATGAATTTAAATTGTTGCATACATTTGGGAGCAGCAACAACAGAAATGGGCGAAAAAGAAGACTGCCTGGCCAACAAATGCAAAATAATAAAAAGAGATGAACGCAAAGTGCCAATGCAGCTGAAAAACAAAAGGCATCAACGAATGGCCTGCTAAATTCTTTTTTTTTTTTTGCCAACAATACATAGTGCGAAATATTTACTGATTAAAGGACTATATAAGATAAGTTAAAGTTAAGATGAAATCAGGAAAATGCAATTGAAAGTTTCACTTATATAGTATAGGACCTTTTACCTACCAGATAATCAGTTTTATCTTTAGTTTTTTCTGCGTGCATCAGCCACCTTTTTCCGATTTTCCGACTTTCTTTGCCTCCAACTGCAATGCTTGAAAAGGCTGTGAGGCTGTAAGGGGTTACAATTTTCCAGGGGCGGCTGTTTGTTCAACACTTGCATAAAATATGAAGCCTGCAGCTTTTGCTATGAGTGGCCATGCTCCCCCCTTACCCCACAACCATCCAACTCCCTGTTTGCTGGCTGTCTATCAAACAGAAAGCACGAAAGGAGAAACGGAAAAAAAAACGGAAACAAAAGTCCAAAAATGAAAAAAGAAAAACACAGAGACAGAGTCCTCATGTGGGGTGTCCTGGCCGAAAAAAAGGATATATATATGTGCTACAGTTATAACAATAAATCAACAACTTCTGGCAGGCACTGTAACTGCTGACTGGTTCTGCTACCGCTGCGTTTTAATATTGTAATGCGCAAATTTTTCAACAGGCTTTACCATCCCCCTCCCCACCCCCAAACTCCAGCCACCATTTCTGCGATTCGCTTTAATTGAAAAACACATTTTCGGAGGGACCAGAGAATTTATGAAAAATAAAGACAGAACAATTAAAAAATTGTCCAGTTTTTCCAGCCAACCAGGCTAGCCAAATTAAATCGGACAAAAAATGAATTCGGGGACTATCCCCTATTTATTTATTGAATGCCGTTTAAATTGCATTTAATAACATTGAATACCTGTTTTTATTCTGTGCCATTCAACATGCAACATATTCTATTTGAGGCAAAATTATTGCTTCATCCATTTTTAATCACGGCTGTAACTCAAAATGCGGCCAAATTAAATTCTTTGATGGCCTCGGCTTAGAGTTCGTTTGTGCGTTGGAAATTGGAATTTTCCAATCTTAATTTAACTCTGCTTAATTTGAAACACACACACACACATATATATACTCTCTACCACACACACATATGAACAGCAGCTGCGGCATTATAAAAATTAAATGCTTTCTGCTGCCTACTTTCCGGGGCTGTCGAGCTTTTATTTCATTGCAGTTGGCAGTTGGCGAATGTGTGTGTGTGTGTGTGTTTGAGAGTTTCTGTGTATGAGTATTTTATTTCATTCCATTTCGCCACGCGCGCACTTCCGGCATATTATTGCCTAGTTGCCGTTGTTGTTGTTGTTTGGATGGCCGTCAGTCTGCTGTGAAGGAACTTCGCCTGTCCTGCCATCCTCGCCGGCATTTCCGGTCAGCACAAAACTTTCCGCTTCCCTTCGTTTTTTTTTTCGCCCCTTTTTTTTGCCTCTGCATTCGGTAAAAGTTCAAGCGTTTGCGCCTTTACGCTAAATTGAATTTAATGCCACGGGCCCGTCCCTCTACAAATGTCCTTTGACATGGACAAACAAAGTAATGACAGAGTCAAAACTTTGATGCCTGATTGGGAAGCACCCACTCCAATTGTCCTACACAGAGAGAAACGATAAATATCATGTAAGGAAACTACCATAAAAAGTTGCTTCAGCTTACTGTTTCTGCATTTTAATAAGGAAGTTTTTTAAGTTTTTGAGGTTCTGCCTTATCATCGGTTTCTCCCTTTAAATTACACCCCAATTTTCTCTCTCTACACCTCAACAATAGAAACTTTCTGCTGACAAACTCAACTAACAAACTCCGTTTCTCTGTTTATTCCAGATAAGGACATACGTGCCCAGATCCATGCGGCCAGCGACTCGTACTCCTCGCACCTGGTTGGCTGCGATGCCAGTCGATTGCTGTTGCACCAACAATTGCAGGGCCAGCATGCCCATCATCATCATCATCATCTTCATCGGAACAACGAGGCTGGCTTCTATCAAATCGAATCGCCGCCCTGCTATACAATCGCCACTGGATTGCCCAGCTATGATGAGGCACTGCATCATCAGCCAAGGCATTTTGCCTACGGCATGAAGTTCGTCTATCCTTCGCTGGCAGCCGTGCATCATCATCACCATTGCATTTCCAATTGGGAGAAGAACGAGGGGCGGCAGCAAGAGCCGCTGAATAAGCTGCAAAAGTGCAAGCTGTCAGCGGCAGCAGTGGAGGAGGATAAAGTCGACTCATCGTCCTCTTGCCAGCTTGCCTCACAGTCCACATCGTCCACATCCTGCAACTTGGCCGCAGCAACGCCTGCCATTTGCATTAACATGCCAAATGGGCGGCAGGATGTGGATGAGAACGAGGTGGATAATAATTCCGATTCCGAATCCGCAGTGGCAATGGCAATGGCAGTGGGACAAAGTTTACAGCCAGCGGCGGCTGCCGACGATGATTGCGCCTCATTGGTCGTTGTCGTGGCAGCGTGATTGCCCAGCCAAGGGTCCGGGGTCAGGGGTTAAGGGTCAGGGGCAGGGAGTAGCAGCCCAATTGCTTAGTCACTTGTAAATAGTTGCATAGTCTGCTAATGTTGTTTACCCCCCCTCGTAAATTGTAATAACATAAATATCTCGATGAAAATGCGTCCCTGAGTTTCCCACTAAGCAAATTTAGTTTCCGTTTTAGTTATCTGTTATATTATTATGTATTATGCAAGACTGAGTATTATTTATTGTACTATGTATAAAAAAAAGAAATCAAATTGTCTATCTATTAAGCCCTAAAATCTAAGCGAGAGTGAAAAATGAAAGAAGAAAAATATACAAAAAACTCAAATGAAAAAAAAACACAAACACACATTGCAAACTAAATTGAAATTTTCGTTTTCATTTTCTTATCAGTTTTTCAGTTTCGAAAAAGAAAAAAATGCCAAAAAGGAAAACTAAAGTTCCTCGATTTTCAAAACCATTGTTGACCTTGTTGGCAGTGCACGAATCCTAATCCCTCAGATACTCCTACTTTTTGGCCAGGGCAAATATCAGAAGCCATTTGGGGTTTTCGGATTTGGTTTTGTTTTGAAATTATGTACGTGACTTGGATGCGGCTGGTCGAGATTAGGTCAGCAGAAATGCACTGCGGCCAGAGGGAATTCCCGCCTCGGGGAGACGCGTGCATTGCTGAAAGGATTCTACAGCATTCGTTTTAAGTGTTACTTGAGGATTTGGCCATGTAAAGGCTTAAGTCTAAAGAGTTTAAAGATGAAAATAAGCTGATTAAACAAGCACATGAGATAGATCCAATGCAAGGGGCTTGAGTATACCCTTAAGTATTAAAGTTTTGCCCAAAAAATCTTTCTCAAAATCTCGCTTCTTTTTTCCATAAATTCTGATTACATTCTCCACCGCGCAGCAGTTTCCCACAATAATTCCGCTTCAATTTTCAAAATAAAAAAAACCACCTTAGCAAAGACATCACTAACTAACAAAACACAAACAGTTTCTTAATGTTGCAGTTACTACGATTAAATAGAAACATTAACTAGATTAAAACCTAAAGCTAAAGCTCACAGAAAACCGAAAAAAATAACATTGTCTACTATGGAAAGAAAAGAAAAGAAAGAAATTAAATATGCAAAAATATATATAAAAAATGATATTACCAAACTAAAAAAAAGAGTTTCTAGATTTTTATTTGCAATTCTGGGATTTCAGCTCCTGAGGCGATGAACCTAATTGGGAGCACAGCAAACGCCCTGAAAGTCTAACAGCCAGCAAAGTGGCAGTAAAAACACGAGTTAAAGTTTCGTGCGAGCATAAATAATTTCATGTCAAATTTGACACTTTTGTTGAAGCTTCTGCGTCTTTAATGCTGCAATTTGTATTCAAATGTACGATTTGTTGATGAGTCGGAGGCACAGGCAGAGGCGGAGAACCGAGGCATGGACATGAAGTTGGAGCTGGAAGTAGAAGGCATGGAGTGGCATGGCACATCAAACATTCCATAACGCAGCGTAGAAGTGAGCGAGGAGCTGCAAACACCAAACAGGGCCATAAATTATATTATCGTGCATCGTGTATCTGGTTCAGGTCGCAGTCATGAGTGACTGTGGCTCAAAACTGGGCAGCGGCAGGGAATGGGGCATGGGAAATGGGGAATGGGGTATGCCAACGGGAATGGTTATATGGAGGAGAGAGGATTTGGGGTCTGGGGACTGAGCACTGGCACTGACATCAACACCAGCAGCTACATCCACATCTACAGAACTTTTGGCCATGGATCTCTCTGTGTGTGTCGTGGTCGTGCTTTGCGTTCTTGCCATGATTTGCCAAAATGCAAAAAAAAAAACAGCCCAGTCGAAGACAAAAGGCGAAAAAGTTTGGAGGAGAAATGGAGAATACTATATGCTCTTGTGAAAGAAATTAGTGAAGTGGAGTATGATTTCAAAATTAACAAGGAAAAGTGACAGAAATGTTAAACAACTTCAGTTCTAGATTGGCTAAAAATTAAGGAGCCTTGATAGATGAAATGGTAATGTGATTAGTTAGTTAATTACTTTCCAAAAAAGAAGAAAATACGACTAAACAGACGTCAGAATACCCTCCAAAACCCACCATGACCCCGAAAAAGGTTAGAGAGCATATAGAAGCTCCATCAGAAGCAAAGGTAGGCGGAGTGGCTGGGCAGCAGATAAGCGATATGCGGTCGGCATTCATACATGCGAGTAAATGTGTTATATATGTACACGATGAGTTACTACTGTACGGTACTCCCACCTGGATATCTGCGTATCTGGGCACCGGAGTACGGAGTACGTTTTTATGGTGACTGCACGTGTGTTGGCCGTAATTTGTTAAACGGTTTTCTTTTTTTCTCTCCTGATTTTTTTTTACTCTTCTGCAGAGTTCATTGAACAGGTTGTTTTTGGCTTGACTTTTTGGGTTGACTCTTTGTTTCTGTGTGTTTGCCTCATTTTGTGGGCGGCCCATAAATCTCGGAGACATTAATTTGTTTGTCACCTGTCGGCCATGCGGTTGAATAAGATGTGTTGCCCTCTTTAATGAGTGCAATTAAATGCCTAATGGCTCTGATGACAATCGGCAAATCGGATTAAATTTATAGGGGAAAATAATTCATATATTGTTTACGGCTTTAAGAGCTTATGGCTTATACGCCGCTCGTACTAACATTCATTACAAGTTTCTCATAGTCTGATAGGTTTATTGGATATGGATCTCTGGTAACTAATGGCTCAACTCTAGGATCCTGCTTGGGTCGAAGTCTCTTCTCTTTGTATTTTAGAATCTGCTGGCTTGATAGTTTACGTAACTCATCTTGGCTAAGTTCTTCCCATTCTGGTGCGTTTTCTGAACTAAAAACGAAATCTCCTTCTGTTGAGGCTTTCATCTCGTCTCGTAGTAAGTTTGATTCTTGATTTTGTGAAGAATCTTCATGGATTACTTCTTCAGGTGGAAAGGCTATTTCAAGGTTTTCATTTTGATTATAGTTTTCTGTATCGGAATCAGGGTTCTCATAACCTTGCTGATATTGATAATTGCGAGTAGGATGCGCCTTGGGAATTATGTATATATTTGAAGAGTCCGTTGTAGGACGATTACTTGGCTGATGGTTTGTCAAAGGAAAATCGATAGATGGCTTACCACGGCCATCTGCCGATTTTCCTTCGGCATTACCATACATCAAACTTGGTTCAATATCAACTTTCGTTGGTTGATAGACTTCTTCAAGGGAATCTCTAGGACGACCTCTTGAAATTTCATCAAAACCATAGTCATAAGGCACATTCCTATCCTTGTGTGTTGGTTCTACTTCATCTTTTGACTCTCTAGAGGAATCTCCTGAATGTTTATCAAAGGACACATTCTTTTTTCTAGGTTTATTATCTCTGGAAATCGCATCAAAGCGTTCATCAAAGGGCACATCCTTGTCGATACCTTGGGTTATATATTCAGGATCCCATTCGTTAGGATTACGATGTCTGTGGTATATATCATTTCGACCTGGACTTCTAGTTTGAGATCTTTCTTGATTCCTAAATCCGTGCCCTGGCCTTGGCTTGTAAACTGACCAATCCTTAGGTCTACGTCTATCCATGGGATCTTCCCTATCACGATTCCGATTTCCATATCCCTTTCGCTTTCTTTCTTCTTCCTGAAAGCTTGGATATCTATCTTGATTATTATCATTATCATAGTAAGGGACATCATAGCCTCTGGTGAACCCTTTTCCTGATCGCTGATCTAGAAAAAAGTCAAAAATAAGTTAACCTTAAGTTGGGTTAAGAGGTAATTCTCACTATTGTAGTCCATCCATCCTAAATTGGTGTCTATAATTTTGTCTCGATTTTCTGTAGTATTTGAGTAGTAAGAACCAGGATACGGAGTTGATGTCCTTGCCCAGGAATCTGGTGTAATGGGCCTGTAATGGACCTGCCAATAGAAGGTCAGCCAGTAGATGATGAGAAAGTCATGGAACAGTATCAGAGAACCCAGGAAGAAGTCGCTCAGACGCATTTCAGCAAATCGATTTCCATTAATAGTTTGTCCATGGTACATAACGAACTAAGGAATTTTTATTTTAAGTTTTATTTTTAAGATTTCGATTTTAGAAATACTCACAAAGAGAATTGTAAAGGTCACTGCCAGTTCCACCACTAAAAAGGCATAGGGAATGGTACTCCATATGAGTAGCTCGAATAAAAGGACAAAAGTGGCAATAATCAGGAAAATAAATGCTATTATAAATAGAACTGCAATGTCCAGGGTCAGATCCATCTAAAAGTTATAGTTTTAGGCAATGAAATATCTTTTAAAATTCTTTTTTTTTAATTACTTTTCTTGGTAGAAATATGCCTATCACCAGAAATATAATCATTAATATTAAGACTACTGCAAAAAAGGTCAATACATCGGCCCACCAACTTATAGCGACTAAAGCAAAGGTGGAAATAATCTGAAGCTCCACCTGTAAAATTCCAAATAAATATATTTAATTAGAAAATAATTTAAGCACTCACAATAATCAGTGACATGATGAAGTTAAGACCTTTCTTGAAACGCACCTTCTCAACAAATATGAAGATAATGAATACCAAGATGGCCAGGAGAAAGGTCACAAAGCAGATGTAGTACAACGACCGGAAAGTTGATCTAGCATCTTCTCTAAGGGTATTGGCTATATTATTTATAATGTTTTTTAGTTTTAAACACTTACATTATGGCTATTACCAGCCATTGAATCAAGGCCAAGATTAGCCAGAGAGCGAATAGACCGTAGGTCTTCAATGAAAACTTTCTTCGTGCCTTTCGATAAAGGCGCTGTTCGTCGGATACATACATCGTAACTCATGGGTCACTAAATATGACTGCAAATTTGTCGACAACCACCAAAATCTATTAAGAAATATCCAAATTCTCAAGCTTGTGTGCAATATGGGGATCAATTTTGAAAGGATACTCAAAACTAATGTGATCAAAAAATTGAAAAAAAAAAAAATTTATTTTTAATTTCATTTCATTTCATTTGCAGCTCATTTGATAAATCCCAGCTATCTGCTGCCCAATCATAGCTGGTTTCATTATTAATATTCCACTCATCACCAGGTGGGCGAACATCTAAAAAGGATTAATAAGTTAAAGTTAAAGTTAAGTTAAAGTTAAGTTAAAGTTAAGTTAAAGTTAAGTTAAAGTTAAGTTAAAGTTAAGTTAAAGTTAAGTTAAAGTTAAGTTAAAGTTAAGTTAAAGTTAAGTTAAAGTTAAGTTAAAGTTAAGTTAAAGTTAAGTTAAAGTTAAGTTAAAGTTAAGTTAAAGTTAAGTTAAAGTTAAGTTAAAGTTAAGTTAAAGTTAAGTTAAAGTTAAGTTAAAGTTAAGTTAAAGTTAAGTTAAAGTTAAGTTAAAGTTAAGTTAAAGTTGAGTTAAAGTTAAGTTAAAGTTAAGTTAAGATTAAGTTAAAGTTAAAGTTAAGTTAAAGTTAAGTTAAAGTTAAGTTAAAGTTAAGTTAAAGCTAAGTTAAAGCTAAGTTAAAGTTAAGTTAAAGTTAAGTTAAGATTAAGTTAAAGTTAAAGTTAATTTAAAGTTAAGTTAAAGCTATGTTAAAGTTAAGTTAAACTTAAGTTAAAATTAAAGTTAAGTTGAAAAGTGAATCAGTCTTTACCATAATCATCATAATCAGCATTAAGAGGAGTCGTTCCATGTGATGATTTCGTACTTGTCGACAACCAGAAATAGTCAGAGGATGTGAAATAGTGAATGTTAATCTGCCAGTAGAAGGTCAAAGCGTAAATGACCAGAAACTCGTGAAAAAGCATCAAGGCGGCCAAAAGGCAGTCATCCAGGCTCATCTGGACCCAGCGATCTCCCTTAATAGTTTGAGCATGTAGCATAACGTTCTTTAAACACTTAATAAGTTAAATAATATAAAAAAATAAATAACAACTTACCGTTATCATTACACCAGTTATGCAAATCTCAAAAACCAAAAAGGCATAAGGCACCATGGCTGGGTAGAAGACATGAGCCACCAGAAAATAGGCAGAGGCTAGGAATAATATAAAGCTAAAGATGAATAGAGGAGCTATTAATTGAGTTAAGTCCATCTGGAAAAGTTCTAATTGTAATTATAAATCATAAAAATATATCATTTTTGATTTCCAAACCGAAAAGGAAAGATTACAGCCTATGATCAGGGCAGCGGTCATTAGAAGGAGGCAAAAAAAGTAATAGGCCAACATCTCAGGAACCCAAGTTCGTGCCACTAGCACATACATTGAAAATATTCCCAGTTCAATCTTACAGTATATGAGATTTCTTATTAATCTTAAAAATAACTAAATATTAATCAAAGAAGAACTCACGATGATAATTGCAAAAATCCAGCTATAAATCCTGTGGCTGCGAACATTTTTGTTGAACATAAAAATCAGGAAGAGTAGGCCAGCCAGGACAAAAGTGACCGAATTTACTAGGTAAAAACTACCGAAAATCTTACGAGCGCCTTCCCTTTAAGAAAATATATTAGAAAATATTAAGTTTATTCCGCCATATGAGTACCCACACGAAGCAGACTATAATCCATTGGCCCAAAGCTGCTGCTGATATGATGGCAAAGGTTAAGTACGTTTTTCTGGCAAACTTCTTCCTTTTGCGTCCACCGGCATCCATGGCTTAGGAAATAGTATTTGCAGACCATTAACTAGGCTACAATATGTATATTAAGAAATTATTATAGGAAATTTTGATATATTTGTGATGGATTTTTCAGTGGTTGCTGATATAATTTAGATCATGATCAGGTTTTATTACTTTAACTTTCAGGGAAGATCATTAAACTGGCTCAGATCCCATTATTATTTTAAGCAGAGCTAAGCATATCTCTAATTTTGTTTGCTCTAACATTGTGTCAAATACAACATAGCAATCCCAAGCTTGCAGCCATTTCTGTAAACTGCAGGCAGTGCTGTTCAATTTGCTTAGATGCCAGGGAGCAGCCTTTGAGTATCTCAAAGATACAGTTTGCCCTATCATTGTGTCAACTAACTTGCTATGTTCACACACAGCTGTGACCTGGCCCCGATACAAATACTGTAGCTACAGTAAACACACGCTGGGGCGGCCAACCGGCTAACGCGTAAAATCAACAAAAATTAACGTAGGGCAAACAAGGCGAGCACGGCGAAGCCAAGGTTGAGAAATTTATGCTTAGCTCGATGCAGCAAACAAATTTGCACTTGTTAGCCTTACTTTGGGTAGTTTTCTTTTTCTTTTCATTTGTTTTTTTTTTGTTCTGTCAGCAAGGAAAATAGCGCAGAATATGCCAAAGCCGCTGTCAACGGCAAGTGTTAAAAATGCCAGATAAATAATGTCAGAGCAGAGCCAGACAAGGGCCACAATGGCAAACAGACTCACTAATGAGCTGACTGCACTGTAAACTCAACTTTGCTAGCTGGCTAACTGAGTGACTGGCTGGCTGGCTGGCTGGCTGACTGACTGGCATTCGTGTGACAGATTTGAGTGCGTCAGAGTAAAGATACAATTTGCATACTAAGCCCCAACCGCGTCACACGGTGCGTATGAGCAATGAGGAATAAAAATCATTTAGCGACACATTTGGCATATCAAAACGGTCTTAATGGCGTGTGGCATTCCCAATCAGCAGCAGCAGCAGCAGCAGCACTTGTGTGTGTGTGCGTTTCATGTTAACTCACAGAATGCCGAAAAAGCGACTTGAGAAGCAGCTAACTGTCGCCGGGAAGCTCAACTATCTGACTGGCATGCAAAATTAATTACGGCCAGAAATTTATTTACGACGAACTTGGAAGGGGTTGGGGATTTTCTTCCTCCACGCGTTGCGCGCTGCGGCAGCCATAAAAGTTTTACGCTTTAGCCGAATTTAGGAGCCAGCAAAACAGGGACCAGGAAGAACACCAGAAACACGACTGCAGCTTAGATACATTCTCCTTTTGCCGCCGCCATAAAATCCAGGCGCTGATGACATTTCGCCAGCTGCATTGCAGTGGATGTGGATGTGGACGCGGATGTGAATGTGGATGGGAATGTGTCACCATTGCGGTGGTTCCTTCAGCTACTGCAGCTAGGATGGGAATTTTACGAGCTTTTGCAACACTGGTTGAAAAGGGGTTTTCCTGTGTTTGTGTTTTTGGGGGAAAGGGCGCACTGAAAATCACACCACTTAAGTGCGCGTAATGAAATTTTAAGCAGCATTCGGTTCTGTTTATGATTTCAGCTGTAAAATGGATGCATTCGCTGGAGCCTCTAATTCAATTTGGCTTGGCAACTGCATGGCTTAAATTATGGCCAAAGGGGGGAAACATTTTTCGGGTAACTTTGTGATAGAAATGCTGGGTTTTTGGGTCAAGTTGGGGATAAAAGAAGCTAAAAAATGTGGTGATTTTTAGCCAAAAGGTTGTAGTTCTGATTTTTTGCTTAAAAAATACAAATTAAGGCCAAATATTGGCAAAAATGTTTCAGCAGAGGTTTGTTATGCCTTGTGGCTTAATTCCCAGTCAATCTATATAGTATATAGCATAGTTTACTACAGTATTATTTTGCTCGAATATAAAATATAAAAACATGCTTAATATTTGTCTAACAAACTCTTTTTTCTATTTAGTTTTTATCGTAAAAATTGTTCATAAAAACTTTGTAAAATAAACATTTTTTGTTACCTATTTTGATACGAAAAAAGTTGGTTATTCAGGAGACACTTTACCCCTTCAATTAAATGAAAAAATGTAACTTAACTAGTTGCTTGTCCCGCTGCAGATTAGCTACACCTAAACAAACAAATGCCCAGGCTAATCGTGTAACCCCTTTCGATTCCCTAGATTAGCCGCATGTTAGTTCCTATCAAACTAGGTCGCTGTCAGATTATTCCAGTCATAAAGAGAACTACAAAACACAAATATATATAAACTATATATACTATATATATATATGAGGAAATGACGCTGACTTAGGTCAGGGATTGGTGTATATAGCGATAAGCCAAAATGCCTTATCCCCGTGATCCCAGTACTAGAGTAAAACAAAGAACAGTGCGGCTAACTTGGTGTTTGTTTAAGCCAAAAGCAAACAGCTAGCAGACGCTCATTAGCAGCAGCAGCACACGCCTGAGATAAGGACCACACCGGGGTATGGAGATAGCTTCTCAGGGGAAACGTATAGAGAATCCAAAATCCAAAATCCAAAAGCCAGATAAAATGCCGCAGGCCAAGTTCAAAGAGGCGGCGAATCATGTGTCGTCACATCATCAAACAAAATGAGCAGCAAATTAGAGGAAGCCACTATGGACTACCTCCCAGGAAAATAGTGGAGTGAGGGAGGGGATATACCTACTTTCCATTTTCCATTTACCACTTGCGTCATCGAAATTTGTAGCAGCTTATCAAGCTGACTGGCTGGCTGATAAAAAAAAGATGAGCTCCGGAAAATTCTCAGGACTCCGGGAGAGAGTGTTCGGTTTTTCCGTTTGTGACTCACTTTTGCCGCAGACTCGAACGTGACCTGGCACTTTAGTGACACTCACTCTCATAATCGAAGTGAAGTGTTTTTCCTTGGTCCAGCGCCTTTATCAATTTTACGACTTCCTTTCGAGTTCTGGCCAGATATGTGGCCCCTTTTTCGGACCACCGGCTAGCTGCAATTAGTTTTATTTTCCGATTTTCTTGGACTTGTGGCTCGCTTTAGTATCTTTATCTTAGCTAATTGATATTTATTGCCCGAACACGTTCTTTGCTCGCTCATTCGTTCGTTCGGTCAGGTGAAAATGTGAAAATTCTCTTGGTGCGTCTTCGATTTTCCGTTTGCCCAATCTTATTGGCAACGGGAAATTATGGGCGGTAGGTTATTGGCTTGGTTATACTTTATTGGGGCATGCGGGAACGATTCTTGGTAAGCGGTGACTCAGACATTAACTCTTAAGATCCATGGGGGTCAACGATGGAGTCACGTTTTGGTTTTACACAGAAACAAGATTAGAGTCGTAAACAGGCGAGGACTCTGGTGGAATGGCTGGGAAAAGGTAAGTTCTGTTTTCTACAGCTTGAGTCATCAATCACACTGCCTGGTATACTCTACGAGGTGTGTTCAAAAAGTAAGGTGACTCTTCAAATTTCGCGAATTTCAAATTTTTCGATTATCGATTTTTTTGTTTTGTTATATTGGTACACTCTTCCCTAACATCTGTACCAAGTTTCAATGGAACATCCTCTTTTGTTTGGTTGTGAGAGGCGTAAAGTTACAAGTTGTTTTGCGAGCTCGGCGATTTTTTGCTATCGAAAAATATGGATCAAAGGATTTGGATTTTTTGGCCAAAAACAACACCACAATAATGCCTCAGCCACCATATTCACCGGATTTGGCCCCATGTGACTTTTTCTTGTTCCCAAAACTGAAGATAATCGAAAAATTTGAAAAATTTGAAATTTGAAAAGTCACCTTACTTTTTGAACACACCTCGTATAACTTCTAAAAGGTTTCGATAATCGAAAAATTTGAAATTCGCGAAATTTGAAGAGTCACCTTACTTTTTGAACACACCTCGTATAAAAAAAGAAAGAGAGAAGAAAATCAAATGCACTTACAGGAAGCCCAAAGGATACTCCATTTGGCCAGCTGTCCCTTGAACGAAGTTATAGGCTATCATATTTCCTTCTGGCATATTTATTCTTAAAAACAACCGTGAGGAAGCACATTTTTTTCCAATAAACACTTCACAGGCTGCCCCCCAATATCGGAGTATGTATCGAAAATTAACAATACTTGTAGTCCTTGATTTATGAATGAGTTTCCTCCTAGTCTTGTTTGTCTTTTTTTATGGCAGGATATTCTTTTTAGAGCATGATGTTTGAGTTTTTCGCCGTGTTTTGATGGTAGGCAGGATATTATGAATGCATTTAGAGTGACTACTTAAAAGTAAATAAATAATGTAGGAAACTGTTCCTGTGTTTTGGTCGGGTCAACCTTGTTGAATAGAGAATGAGTTGTTGAATTGGAAGTGATAATGCGGATTAAAAGGTTTACCTAGATAGAGCATACGAATATCAGATACTTAAAGCAATTTTTAATTGTCAGGAGATTCCTAAGATGACTGGGGATTTTTAAAAGATTTTCCATAAATATTAGGTTGTCAAAAAAGTCTTGCGGTATTTTCGTTAGTTGGCGCTGAAAGCGCGTAGTTCTTGTTTTATTCGTCGCTTCAGGTCATACTATACCTTTTTGGACTAAAATAACAAATAATACAAACTTAAGATTAAAAAGAGTAAGAAAATGTTATACTGATGACCAACTTGGAGATCCAAGTACAAATACCTGAAAGGTTAATATGAAAGTTAAATTTTGACATACTCCATATACTCTCAAAATTTCCATAGCAGCAGGAACAGCAGCCAAACTCTTCTCGACTTGAAGTTTCATTCTTAATTTATGACACTTTCAATTAGGAACTCCTCCTAAAAGGCTAACAGCAGGTCGTATTCCAAGGAATCCCTGCAACTGGCAACGCAATGTGTGTGCGATGTTAAGGGGAAGATTCTTGGAATAAATTCAAAACCATAATTATGCTCACGCTTACAGCCCATCTTCCTCCTCCTTCTACTCCTCAAGCGACTGTCAATTGCAAAAACAAACAGAAGATGGCAAAA